CCCCCCAAAAACCCCCCCAAACAAACAAACCCCAGCCACTAACCTATCCGCAGGCCTGGGACTTGCAACTTCCCATTGGCTCCCCCACTGGCTGTGGGAAGCTGGCAAGACGTTGCCTAACCTAACGACCGAGGGATTCGATTAACAACGATTAGCAAACCCAGGACTGCCTTTGCTAAATGATTCAGTTGCACTTGATGACCAGATCGTGGGAAACGAAGGCAACTGGGGTCCTGATTGCTGTTGTAAGTCGAGGATTCCTTGCAGCTACGGTCCGCTTGTAACTTAACTGGTTTCTGGACCTCGACACCATTTTCAAGCCACTCACCGGGACTGTGGAGGTATTCTCCGCCCCTCATTCATGCGCCTGTCCGACCCATAGCTGCCCCAGCCGTCTCTGGAGTGGCGATCTGGATCCCTGTGGCGTTCCTCTGCATAGCGCTGAAAGAGGGGAAGGAGAGGAGAACAGCAATGATCCAACGGGTACAGGGGAGGAATACTAAGGGAGGCACTGGCGAAGATTTCGGAAGCTGGGCAGTAAGTTCCCTACTACAAGGAGAAGATAAAAGGCAGGGGAGTGCCACAAAGGTTGTGTAGCAGGTATTTCGATGAGCTCTTGTTTTGCCTGGTGGCTCATTTGTCCTAAAGAAGATACCAGAAGCTCACAAGCAACTGAACTAAGGAAACAGCCTGAAGCATTGGGACTTTTAAAAGGTTTCAGGCTTTTCAAGAGCTGCAAAGCACCGCTTTCTTCAAAGTGCTACAGAGCGTTAAAAAATTCTGGGGTCAGATATTGGTTCAGAATTTTTTTTTGAAAAATGTGTATAAAATTGAAGCTTTTGTTTTAGGAAGGGCAGATAACACAGAGTGATAGGCCCGGAAGACACCCGAGGTCTTCTAGACCGATCCCCTACGCAAGGCAGGAGATCTTATAGCGGGGTTTCAAACGGGCTGTGTCATGTGATGCATCATGTGACTTTTTCCCCGTTCCCTAAACCAGGCGTGGCCAGCGCGTGATGCATCCGGCCCGTGGGCTGGGACTTTTGACAGCCCTGCCTTACGCCATCCCAAAATAACAGAATAACGGTGTTGGTAGGGACCTTGGAGGACTTCTAGACCAACCTCACCCCCAAGTAGAAAACCCTGTATCGTTTCAGACAAACGATTGTCCAGTCTCTTCCGAAAAACCTCCATTCCCCACCAGCCAGTCAGAGCTGAAGAAGCAAAACATTTTCAAGAAAAAAACCCCAGAAAGTCCAGTGGCCTCTAGGAAAAGCACCTCCGGGACAGTCATGACCTGGATGACTGAGAGTCTCCATAGAGCTCCAGTGCTGGAGCGTCTACAGCTTCTGAAGGCAAAGTCGCCCCACTTGACGGGATTGTTCTCCCTGTCAACCTTTCATCTTATCAAATGCACAATGAACGGGACTCACCTGCCTCTCTCGGTCTCCTATCATCCCCCGGGACCCTTCTCGCCTGGGAACAAAATACAGTCATCATGTCAAATTGTTGGCCTGGATTGATCCCCCAAGGTCCTACGTTAAGCTATACCGTACAGGCAGTCCTTGCGTTACGACCACAACTGGGCCCAAAATATCTGTTGCTAAGTGAAATATTTGTTAAGTGAGTTTGCCTCATTTTACAACTTTCCCTGTCGTCGCTGTAAAAAGTGAACCACTGCATGTGTTTGAGTTAGTAACGCGGTTGTTAAGTGAACTTGGCTCCCCATTGACTTTGCTTGTTGGAAGGTCTTAACCGGATCACATGACCCCAGGACACTGCGACCGTCATAAATAGGAACCAGTTTCCAAGCATCTGACTTTTGATCACACGACTATAAGGATGCTGCAACCGTCGTTAAGTGTGAAAAACGGTCCTAAGCCACTTTTCTTCAGAACCGTTGTAACTTTGAAGTCACCAAATGAATTGTCGCAAGTTGAGGACTATCTGTCCTAATTACTCAAGGCTGCTCTCAAAGAGCTTCTACAGGTAGAGGTTTTGTTTACTGACTGTTTGTTCATAGTTACAATGGCACTGAAAAAGGTAACTTATGACTGGTCCTTGCACTTATGTCTTGTTGCAGTGTCCCCAAGATCAGCATGTGTTTACAAGGGTTGCGGCATCCCAGAGTCACCGGATCGCCATTTGCAACTTTCTCAGCTGGTTTCTAATAAGCAAAGTCGATGGGGGAAGCCGGATTTGCTTTAACAATCACACAATCCACTTAACGTCACTGATTTGTTTAACAACCATGGCAAAAAAGGCTGTGAAAAATTAGGCACAACTAACTTAAGCAACATCCACACTTAGCAGTGGAAATTGTGGTCCCATTTGTGGTTTTAAGTTGAGGACTCTGTGCATTTCAAATATTTAGGGGCAGAGTTTAGAGTTGGGGTGAGAAATATTTTCCCCCCTCAAAATTATGCTGAACAGGAATCCTTTGTGGAGGAAAAAAAAAAAGTCTGAACTTCGCCGGAACAGCACTCTGCTTCTGAACATTTGAACTACAGGGAGTTGGAATATTGTGTTAAATTATCTAATCCGAGCTGAGAATATTATATATTAATATCCACATGGTTTGCTAGGCCTTTTAATCGAGGACCTCTCTCCAAGACCCTGAGGAACTGAGGAAAGAGTTTCTTCTTCTAGATAAAGGGGTCCCCAAACTTAGCAACTTTTAAGGCTTGTGGACTTCAACTCCCAGAATTCCTCAGTCAGCTATGTCGAAGGGAACGATAATAGAATATCCACAGTAAAAGGGTTAATTTACATTGAGCCTCCTGGGGTGGGTGGTGGTGGGGAACAGATCCCTGCAATTAATTTAACAACTTTTGACTTTAAAAATCATGTTCACCGTAACACGTTAGGATCTGAATGGTCACTTTCTTCTTAGAAACAGTGGCAGGCAAGCAAGCGGATTTAAGAAGGGAAGAGGATTAAGAGGAGGGCAGCTGGACAGAGGAAAGGCTCGGGGATGGGGGAAAGGAGGAAGCTAATGCGGTTGAACCCCCCAAATCCTCTTCGCGACAAACTTAAACCAGGTGTGTCCAACCTGCAGCCCACTGGAAAGCCGGTAACGAGGCCCCACAAGATAATTAAAAAATACAGAAAAGTAAAGGAAGTTTGTTATTTATAGACATTAACTAAACATCAATGTGGCTCAGGCCAAGGCCAAAGGTTGGACAACCATGAACTCAACAGTCACGTTGATGAAGCCAAATGGAGAGAAACTACAGGTAACCCGCGACTTAAAAACAGTTCGTTTAATGACCGTTCAAAGTTACAACGGAACTGAAAAAAAAGTGACTTATGAACGTTTTTCAGGTACCACCTTTGCGGCCTTTCCAGGATCATGTGATCTAAATTCACACGCTTGGCAGCGTGGTTGGTTCATACTTATGACCGTTGCTGTCTCCGAAGGTCATGTGATCCCCTTTTGCGACCTTCTGACAAGCAAACTTATCTTATCAACTGCCGTGATTCACTTAAGAGCTGGGTCTGGAAAGGTCGCAAAATGGGGCAACACTCCCTTAACAAATGTCTCACTTAACAATGGAAATTTTGAGCTCAACCGTGGTCCTAAGTTGAAGACTACCTATATATGATGCTTTCTCCCTAACTACCAAAAGCAGAACAGGTTAAAAAAAGGGTGACAATGTTTACATAAGATTAAATTTCAATTTGTGAACTAACTTAGGGGCAAGTGGGTTGTTAAAGAACATTTACCTCGAGTTAAACAAAAAGGAATACGGGTAGCCCTTGACTGATGACCATAAGGGAGTCTGGAATGGAACAGGTCACAAGATTGTAACTTGTTTTTATGACCTTTATTGCAGTGGTCGTTAAGTGAATGTGGTGGACATTAAGCAGATCTGTTTTTATCCAGTGTGGGGTTTTGTTTTGGGTTTTTTTTTTGCTGGAAACTACAAGTAAACACTGAAAACCAGTCCCCAAAAGAATAAAACTTTGAAATCGATGGTCATGGGACGAGGAATGCTGCAAACAGACGCGCAGTGACTAGTCAGTTGCCAAGTGTCCTAAATATGATCCCAGGCCCATGGGGTGTGTGGGTGTTACGTGACTGTGAGAACTTTGCAATTGGCATTATGAACGTTTTGCGGGGCTCAGTAGTAACGTGGAACGGTCGTAAAGGGAGGACTACCCGTAATCCACTTTTCCGCAGGTACCCTTGAGGATGAACCAAAAACTTCCCCAACAGGAAAACGTGTCGTTCGCAGGCTTACCTGTCTAGAGGATGGCCCTGGTACCTTCCTCGTTCCCTGTGATCAAAGTCATGGAACCGATCCTGGCGGCCGAAATCTGAGCGGTGACGATCGTCCATTGCCATCCGCTTGGCTTCTGACCAGTAGGGATCATCCCTCCTGCAAGCAACATGAGGTCAAGAGATCAGCCTAAACAAACTTTCCCCCTGATCTCCTAAGTGGCTGCCGGATGCAATGTAAAGGGGATGAAACCTAATTCACAATAGAGGAGAGTATTTGTAGCTTGGGATTGAAATGAAGGGTCCCTGGTGCCGTCTGAGCTGGGTTGTTTTCTTGCAGAGACGTTTCATGACCCAACTAGGTAACATCATTGGTGCTAGAAGGGAGTGAAGTTTGCAGGATGGAGGAAAAGGAGGAGGACTGTGGGGCCCTTGGGTATACTCTAAGTTTGGTTGTTTTCTTACAGACGTTTCATGATCCAATTAGGGAACATCAGTAGTGCCAGAAAAGAGCAAACTCCACATTCCCTTGTAGCACTGATGATGTTACCTAGTTGGGTCATGAAAGGTCTGCAAGGAAACAACCCAGCTCAGAGAGCACCAAGCACCCCACAATCATCCTCCTGTTTCTCCTCCTCCCCCCACTCCTTCTCCACTCCACAAACCCAGTCCTCCTTTTCCTACTGCCCCACACCCATCTAGCACTGATGATGTTACCTAGTTGGGCCATG